CCCTCCCTTACATTTGAGCTTTCCTCCACTCACCTCAATATTTCAACATTCCTCTCCTCGCCTCAATATTTCCGCACTCTTCCATTGACTTCAGTTTGAGCTTTTTAATCCTCACTTAAATTTTAGTATTGGGACAGTTGTGCTGTGCCAAACTTTCAAATTGGGAATTACCTGCTTGCCTTCCTTGAAAATCAGCAATTGTGACCTTGGCCATTTTGGCTTATGAATTTGTACATTGAAGTGTTTAATTGTGTGATTATATTTTTATGTGTAATTGCAGTTGTGTGCAATTTTTTTTTCTGTCTTAGGATATTTATTGTTGTACCTACAAACACCTCATGACACATCCCTAACAAATCTACAATTGCTGTTTTACCCAGAACTGATGAGTCATATATATATATATATATATATATATATATATATATATAAGTACCTGTATCCTGTTTTGTGTTTTTCTCAGCAAAAACTTTAAGTAAAACCACAAACCAAAAAAAAAAAAACATGAATTTGAAGAACACACTTTAGATATGTTTTAGTTGACGCCTTAATTTTTATTCAAAAGTTAATCTTTTTTTTTTCTTTCCTTTTTTTAAAACTGATATTGACTTTTACTGATAGTGATGTTGGTCACTCTTTTCAGGTACAAGCTGAGCATCTCTGCCATAACTTCCTTGATTGGACCACCAACTCATCATCTGGAAGCATGGACTTTGGTGAAATATCCATCATGATGGAGAGTTCACATGGTTTGTTATTTATTTATTTTGTTTATTTTTTTAAAGAATAATTTGGTCCAAATGTAATTTTGAACCAATTTTAAACAAAATTCAGATTTTCTTCAAATTTTATTTATATGCATTGAAAAGAAAATAAGAATAAAATGTGGACATATTTTTTTGTACATATTTTTTCCTTCTGTTCATAATATTTTGGTCTTTTTTTTTTTTATACCTGAGCATGTTAAGGTTTTTTTTTCTGAATCTTTTTTTTTTTTTTTTTTAAATTATAACTGTTTTAATCTGATATAGCTTTTACAACCAAACTAATAAAAAATCTTTTATTAATTTTAAATAATCATTTTCTACTTATACTGTATGTGTGGCTGACAGAAGGAATATTTTATTTTAATTTACTTAGTTTAACTTAGTGCCACATCAAGCCATAACCTAAATAGTTATGTCTATGAAATAGTGTATTGCTGCTATATCTGGGCTGCATATACTCATTCCTTACTTTACAACTTTGAGAGTTCAAAATCATTTAAGCATCTTGTTGGGGGTGGGGGTACTTATTCTGCACTCTGCAACCTCTTTCTCCACAAATGCAACATCGCAAGCACATCGTTACTCTATAGCTATTTCTATGGCCAATTTTCAGATGAGCTCCATTCTTTAGTTCCACCAGTTCAGACCTTTACAACTAGGACACACCATGCTACATTCACAGAGTTGAATCATCCTCATTCCATCCATATTCCAAATGTAAGGAGAAAATTCCACTCGGACAGCTTTCCCCACCCCAAAACTGCTATTTTCTGAAATAGTCTCCCACATAGATTCTTTCCTGAACACTACAATCTTTAACTGTTACAAGTCAAGGGTCAATTGTTATCTAGGCTCCTTATTCTCATAATCTTCACTTCTTTTTCACTCATTACACTTCATTCATCATTACCATTTTAAGTGTACTCTCTACCTTGAATGGTTCTTGAGCCATGTATTGAGTGATAATCAGTATAACAAAAAGAAAAGATCATACTGATTAATGATGTTATTTATTCAGTTTGGTTTAGTTTGGTGCCTCCAGTGAGAATTGAACTCGTATAACAAGGCATCCAAATACTTAATATTTTTATGCCAATCTTTAAAAAGTATCTGTCTATATTTCTGAGATTAGGTATTATGTACACTATTTACATTATTTGGACTATTGTCCTCATATTTGTCACCATATTTATTACAATGTTTCAGCCGTTGTATGCTTAGGCTTTCTTCAGGTGGTTGGAATGTCGAATTGAACCTTTATTTCACTCACTGGGGTAGACTGTTCTAGTTCCACATGCCATGTCTAATGGATGCCAGTTAATCTGCTGTTAATTCCCCTCTCCAAGTTCTCCACCGCCTTAACCATGTATTGAACTCACACTCTTTGGGTTCTGTCACTAGATCTAGAGTGTGAGTTCAATACCCAGTTAAGGCAGTGGAGAACTTGGGGAGGGGAATTAACAGGAGATAACTGACAACGGACATCCATTAAAACATGGGACGTGGAACTAGAATAGTCTACCCTAGTGAGTGAAATAAAGGGTTCAATTTGACATTCCAACCACCTGAAGAAGGCGATAGTCCAAATAATGTAAATCTTTAAAAAGGTCTAAATAGAAAAACAGCAGGAATTAACTGTAATTGAATTCAGTGAAAGATTTTAAGGTAAGCTTTGATAATTCCTGTTGAAATAGACACATCTTGACACCTCTAGTGGATTAACTGAATCAACTGAATGATTGAGATAATCACTAAGAAACATGATGATGATAGAGACTTAGCCATGAGTTTTAATCTAATACTTGCATTTATTGATTTCTGGATTTGAATCTTAGAGTAATATCTTGAATTGTTACTTGGGGTGAGTTTTACTTTTAAAGGATGTATCAGGAGTGTGCTGAAAAATTCTGAGCCTGATCCACTTCCCAAATTCTGACCAAATATTTCTTTTGCAAATTGGTCAGGCTGAATCCTTTTCAACACCCATTTATAGGTACACATTTTATAAACACTTTCTTTCTTTTTGTCATTAGACGGGTCTCTCCAGCCTTGGTTGGCAGTCAGGCTAGAAGGAGGACAATTCTGAATTCAAAACTTAGGGAAGCCAATGACACTAAGGATTATTATTATTATTACTATTTTTATTTTCTTTGATTTCTGGCGTTTACACATTTCTTTTTGGGTCCCGCCCAGGGACCTAAGGTTAGAAATGGCGTCATGACACTTTCTACTGACAAAAAAAAAAAAAAAATTAAATTACATAGATAAAGCCCTTCGTAAGGTGTGGGCTGTACTTGTCAGAACAATTTTTTGTATCTCCTTGAGGCATGGACTTCCAGGAATCCCTTCAATTAGTCTACTGCAATCTTTTCCAACCAGTCCGAGGGCTCCAACTACAACAGGGATTGTTGATGTTCCCATATGCCACATTTTCGAGATTTCAATTTCAAGGTCCTTGTACTTTGATAACTTTTTGAATATCTTCAAAGATACATTGCAGTCAGCAGGGACTGCCATATCAATAAGGAGGCACCGTTTTTGTTTGTGGTCTTTAATAACAATATCTGGCCGGTTGGCCTTGATTGTTCTGTCAGTGTGTATTGTGTAGTCCCATAGAATTGTGACAGGTTCTATCTCCGTAACCGGGTCTGGGTGGTGTTCATACCAGTTTCTTTCACGTAGAAGTTGCAGATTTTCCAGTGCAGATATTGGCCCACTCTGTCATGTTGGGTTTAATATTCACTGGGTGCCAACACTGTGCAACCTGATACAAGATGATCAATCGTTTCTGGATATTTATCACAGAATCTGCATTTTGGGCTGACACAATATTTTAGTATATGTGCTTGATAATTCCTAGTTAGCAAGCATTGGTCCTCTTGCAGCAAGGATAAAACCTTCAGTTTCCGCTTTCAACCCCTGCTTTCACGTAGCCACTGATGGGTGCGGGTTTTGTCTACATCAGCTTGTTTGGTACGGGCAGAGTATTGGCCATGAAGCGGTTTATCTTGCCATCGCTTCTGTATCTGGTCGGTTGCATTCATCTTTGCTGTCTTTTTTTAGGTATTTTGCAGTTTAAGCCGGTGTATCGTACTGTAGTTGCATCTCTACGCCCATTTGAAACTCCATTTTGAATTTGTTGGCTTCTTTCATTACAGAGTAAAGATGCTTACTACTTTCATGTTCCTTGACGCATATCATCATCCAGTCTTCTGTAGTTTCCAAATATCTTTGGCGGCAAATTGTTGTAGTTTTGTAGGACAGTTCTAGTTGAACTAATTCTCTGCCTCCTTCAGATCTGGGCACATACAGACGATCGACATCAGCTTTGGGATGATGCATATGATAGCAAGTGAGAAGCTTTCTCGTTTTGGTGTCCATTCGCTTAATTTCAGCTATGGTCCAGTTAAGGACATTAAAGCTGTATTGCACCACAGAGACAGCCAATGTGTTTATGGCTGATATTCTGTTTTTTGAGTTTAGCTCAGTATTTAGTACCAGACGTACACGCCTGTAGTATTCTTTTCTTATTTTTTCCTTCATTTGGGGGTGTTGTATGCCATCTCCTTCACTAATTCCTAGGTACTTATAAGCTTCATCATGCTCCAGTTCCCTAATCTTTGTGACAAAATCTAAATCTATTAAGGGTGTTTCTGTAAGTCTACCTTTCTTGAAAGTAACTTTTGCACATTTATCTAATCCGAAGTCCATACCTATGTCATCACTGAAGTATTTTACAATATTGAGGAGGCCTTTCAACTCATTGTCGTCTTTGGCAAAGAGTTTGAGATCATCCATGTAGAGTAGGTGATTGAATATTATCATTAATATTATTATTATTATATCACCTTCATGAAATCTCATTTATAATTTGGTTCTAAGTTTTCAAACAGCATATTAAATGATTCAAATATAGTTTTATTACTGTGGTATATTGACTGTTATATAATGGTCAGGTTATAAATACCAAAGTTGTTTTTTCAATAAATCTATGATATCTTAGAGTTTCTGTTCCTTTCATATATACTCTGTAAATATGGTTGTCTATGATAATGCAACTATTAACATACTTATTTTGTGGAACAATTCACTTGTATCAGTTATGTTCAGATCTCATGGGTACTCCACAATAGTACAACACTTAGTAAATAACTAAAGAATGACTATGGGAATTTTTGAATGTGATCAAAGGAGGCTTAAAAGTGATAAGGAATTTTTTTTAAGTGTTCTACTGAAAACTTTGGCTCTCATTAGATCACCAAAGTTAAGCAATATCATGCTCAGTCAGTACTTGGATGGGAAGACCACTTGGGAACACCAGGTACTGTAAGCAACCTCCTACAATATGAAATATGTTTTAGCTTTAAATAACCCACAAAACATTGATAAATTGTAAAACAAATAAAAGCATATCAAAAACAATTACAATTGTTCAGATATGAGGTTAAAAATAATGTAGCTAATGTTTAAAGTCCTCGTATTGTTAAAAGAACTTTGAAAAAACTTTTGACAGTGGTTTTTATTGAAAATGATCACTTTGGATTGTATTGTTAAAGCTGTCATTGGCGTGCACATTTCTTTTTAAATTATCGAATGTAGCAGGAAACTGTTTCTTCTGTAGCACAGACACTGAAACAACATTTGCAAGGGATTCTGGTTTAGAACACACTGACCTGACCTGCATTGAGCACAAAACCTTACTGACTTCTCAACAAACATTTACCTCCCTCTTTTATTCATTTTTGCCAAACCAAAAAATTAAAATCTTGCACACACTGCCAGCCTCAGTCTGGCTCAGTGATGCATGTGTCATGTGATTCCAGTGCTGATGCTCATGCAGTTTGCCTCATACACAATTTGCTTGTCTTATGCACAAATTTAGACTATGCCACTCTGGCCCTCTTGGACCTCCAAGTTAATTATCCAGAACACTTCACCCTGATCTCCTGATCACAAAAGTGGCAGCCTGGTACTTTTCTTCACAAAAGTGGGGAAATGGGTTTTACTTCCTCTTCTGTTTTCTCCTTGGGCAAACAGTCTGACTCCATATCTCTGTTTGACCCACTACCTGAAGACATGGTACTGTCAGAAACTTCCTCTAACATATTGACTGCAGAGTGGGTGCAGATTCTTCATGTGACAGAGTATTCCATCCATCAGACAGGCTGACTATTTTTGTCACCTGACCCCTGTCAAACTTTGTGGTACACCGACTCTGCAGCTCCTTGACCCACACGCAATCTCCAACCTGATAAGGTCTGTACCCAGGACATGAGGACATTGTCATGGTGTCAACCCCCTTCACCTGAACTTCATATTCGTAGATCACATTGGCTAGTGCAGTCAGATGCAATTTGTCATCCATGTCCACAGTTAGTTCATACTTCTTCACCAACTCCTTGAGTGTACTCAACCGCCTCTTGATGAGCATCTTGCTTGCTGCCTTTGTACACATTCGCATCTTCCCAGTCAGGGTGTTTGATACCCAGGTATACACACAGAGATAGTCCATCTTCATGTGCAGCACCTTGCCCTGCCACTGAGAGCCATGTTAATGCCTTTCATCATGGCATCCAGTTCGGCTAAATTTATATGTTGTGCATTGTTTTCAGGTTGCAGTGAACAAACATCCTCTAGCACTGTCCCGTGCCTCTCCAACACATTCAGCTCCTCGCTGTCCAATCTCCATGAGCGAGGTCAACCTGCTTCACTGCATTCACAGTCTCAAACATCATATGCTAGAGGAGGGTGTCTCTCACCTCATCATTCCAGCCATTCGTAACCGAACTGGTTCTCCTGATTATTCCACAAGCTACACAAAGCCACTTACATACCAGGAAGTTCCCAACAAGCCTCCCACATAAAGAGAACATGGTCCATTGCATAATGATGTTGGGAGCTTCTTGGACAATGCTTCTTTGTTTCCACCACAGTTCATCATGTTCCATCCTGATGGTCAATCCCAGCACCTGTGCACCATCCTCCAACCATTCTGGGTCCTTGCATTCTAGCTCAAACTGAGCCAAGTGTTCTCTGACATTGGTCATGGGCACAACAACTTCATTGACATAGATGTTATTGATATAAGCTGATGCCACATGACCAATGGCTTCTTCTGCAACATCACTGTGCTGACAATGGCCTTCATGATAAGGGGAGCCACAATTAGTTTAAACCTCAAACATGTCAGGCAGTACTGTTTTCTGTCAATCTTCACGGTCCGGAATGGTCACAGCATCTCATGGACATGTACTTGGAGGTACCTGCTGCCATTCACATAGCTTAGCTGCACAGATATCTGCATTAGTCGTGAACATGTCAATGTGATGGTTACATTCTCAGTAGTTCATGACTGAATGTACTTTTGTTTTATTCTGCTGCAGTATGGCCATCAAGGAATTAACCCTTTAGGAGGCCCCAGCCTTTCTTCCAGGTATAGCATGAGCAAACCATTGTCTATCCACTCATAGTCCTTTTGGATCTCTGCAGCTACTGAATATTCTGACAGCCCGTTTTGAAGTCTTTCCAGTGCATGATCCTCTGACTATTTCCATGCCACAGTCCATGTTATGCTTTGATGGTTGAAGATGGTGCTGAAGTCAGGTTCATTGATGGAGATGTCTGCTCACATAGTGACTTTCTCATCGTCAATCTGCACTGATCCTGTTGGCCTAACAAAAATGCCTCTCAATGCTTTTATCACATTGATCCACAACAGCAGGTCAAACCCCAGTTGTTTGCTCCACACCACTAGTACATTAGCAGAATCATTTTTGTCTGTGGATATGGTAACCATTCCGACACGGCAATACGCTTGGGATGTGCCTGCAATTGTCCTGATGTTCACTCTTGTGTTCTTCTAGGATCAGCACCAATCTGCATCTACTGTTTACCATGAGAAACCTATGTCAGTTAGTGCTGAACACAATGTCCCATCAACATAGATGCTCATCACATTTACATCTTGGTGGGGGAGAAGGCTGGTGCTGATGCCTTGCTCCTGGCCTGTTTCCCAACCATGCCACATGAGTAGCAATGTGTACCATGCTTTCGGCAGTTCTTTGCTGTGTGACCCTTGCTATTACACGCAAAGCAGGTTACACTGTCACTGAGGTCACTCCTGGTAGGAACTATGGTATTACTGTGAGGTGAGTGCATGGCTGTGACCATATCTTAGCTTTGGTCCTCAGTTGACATCAGCACTATTGCTCTCACTATCAGGTCCCCCATAGGGGCAGGGTCTCAATATTTAGCACCTGTTGAAGTTTGATTGAGATGGCATCAGGGAACCCAGTGATGAAAGTCAGTTTAGTGAGCCTTTCCAACCCAACTCCCTTGAACTCAGCCAATCCAACCAACTGCCTGATTCCGTTTGTGTAAACCTTCCAATTACTACTTGCCAGCCTCATGTAGGCTGACACACCATCATTGAACAGCTCCTTCAACCAGCCCTCTATCTGATTTATATCCCTTTGGGTGTCATCATCCATCTCCATGTAGAGAGCACAGACACTGGGACAACACTCACAAGGGACTCTGGTTTAGCACACACCACAATGCATCAATGTGATCTACGCTGAGCGCAAAAGCTTATTGACGTCCCAAAAAACATTCACCACCTTTATTTGTTTTTGCCAAACCAGAAAACTAGGATCTTGTGCACACTGCCAGCCTCAGTCTGGCTCAGTGATGCATACATTGTGTCATTCCACCATCTTGCTCACAATTTGATTGTCTTATGCACAAATTTAAGCTACACCACTTTGTCCCTATTGGACCTCCGAGGTAATTATCCAGCACATCAAAATTGGTTGTTTCTTGTATGGCGTCTAACTTTGAAGAGGAAAGAAAAAAAGCAATATAATATATATAATTTTATTTGAAAAAAGGGAAAATTGCAACATAAATGCAAAAAAATGTTTGTGCATTTTATGGAAAGTGGGTATTGTGAATGATTGAGACTAAAGTAATTTACAAAGTTTTTTACTAAACAATCCTGCAGTTCAGTAGACCAGTTAAAGTTTGATAGCAATGAAATAAAGATATTAATTGAGAATCATCAATGTCAATGTGACATATTACCCATGTGAGCTCAATGCATTGTATGCAAATGGCCATTTACAATGCAAAAAGTGTGCATGTGTGAGTGCAATCTTTATAATACCATCAGTTGGTGAATATTCATGAGTTTGGCATGTATTTAAGGATTTGCTTGAAGAAACAGTTGCAATCAGCTGCTAGACTGGTTATATTTGGCTTTGATCTACATTGGACTATGTAGTCCAAAATTTATGCTTGTTGGAGTGAGTTCTACAGAAACAATACTGTTTCGAAGACTCTGTCTTTGTTTTCGCCACAGAATTGGCCCACTCAAAAGAGCAGTTATAAAATATGGGAGAAAGATTAAATGAAAATATCCAAATCAGATGTTGAAAATCATTTACACCATCTTGGTTATGTTATGTTTGATGTGTGCCTTTTTCATAATTCAAGCAGGAAAAAACAAAAATAAACCTATGAGACTTTTTTTAAGACATTCTGATGAGTGATGAAAATTGGATACCTTATAACAATGGGATGCAAGAGGAAGTTGTGACTAAAATAAAACCCTCCTAACAGCTATCAAAGGCTGTCTTTGTCCAAAGGAGGAAAATGATTGATTCAAGCAAGTACTGCTTCCAATTAGACTGACTGAAGTCAGCAATCAAAGAAAAGTGTCTGTAATTCGTTAATAGATATCATGTGATATTTCATTAAGCCAACACTAAATCATATTTCTTTGGTGACCAGAGAAAAATTGTTGCAGTTTACGTTGGATGTTTTCATATTCACCTTTGAATTAACATTTTGTCTTTAGAGAAATTCTCTTCATGCAAAAAATTTTAATTCCCTGGGAGGCACTTTAAGCAGTTCTTTACTGAGAAAGATTAAAAAATAAAAAGTTCTATGAGGATGGAATTATGACATTGCCGAAAAGATGGTTGAAGACAGATGAACAAATTGGTTCATAAAAATCATAAAAATTTCTCTTTTATATTTACTGAATAAATCAGTACATCCTTGAAAGGAGAAATGTTTATTTTTAATTAAATGACTGGAAGTTATTTCTACAAAACAGTACGGTAACTCGTCATCCAATACACACAGAACCATTAACTTCCATGATCTTGTGATATTGTTTGTATGCAATTAATGTTTTTGATAGAGGAGATAATATAAGTATCAGATCAAATATATCAGTGTGTGATATCTCTGTTGAATCTCAGAATCTTATACTATTTTGATTTGCAGTTGGGTTTGGTATAAAGAATTGTAAATCTTTAGTCACCTT